ACCTACTCCCAGATAACCATTATTCTGACATCTAACATCAGAGGTTGGTTTTACCTGTTTTTGAACATTATATACATGGAATCATCCAGTATACACTCTTTTGTGTCTGGCTTCTTTTGCTCATTAGATTTATGAGACTCAGCCCTGCTGATGCTATTGTGCTACATGTAATTGTAGTTTGTTCATTTTTCATTACTGTATAGTATTGCATTATATAAACACACTACAATTTATCTGTCCTATTGTTAATGGACATTTGGGTTACTTCCAGTTTTTGGCAATTATGAATAGTCCTGCTATGAACATTCTTATAAAAACGTTTTTACATTTTAAGAAAATGTTTCTTCTGTACCCTGTCCCCACTTTGATGTGATCTTATGCAAGATGTTTTCTGTGCGGAATTGTAAAGCTATGCTGTTAAAAAGCTTGTGAAATCTTTCTGAGAGACAGATGAAATCATCGTGTTAAAGTCAAACCCATTTCTTTCCGCCTGTTATTCCAGTCCAGAAGAATGGAATGCTTAAGAACATCCCTTGGGAATCAGGCTCAAGTTCAAGCACTGGTCCTGCCTGCTTAATAGCTGTGTAACCTGAGGCAGTGATAACAATGTTATTGTTACTAATTTATTGTTATTTGTTACCAATGACAGCACTAATAAAAGGTGGCATTCATTGTTCTAGACACTGTGTTTTGTATGCATTTCTCATTTATTCTTCATAACAGCGTTATGAGATAGCCTGTCACTCCTTTTTAAACCGATGAGGAGACTTGCCTTAGGTCACCCCTTACAGTAAATGAAAAAACTGGAATTTGGACCCCGGTTAGCCCAATCTAGAGCCTGTGCTCTTCTACTCATTAGCCTCATTTGGAGGCTGTGGGGAGTAATAATTCCTGTCTCATAGGACTGTGATGTGAAGATTAAATGATGTTGAAAAGCTTTATGTGTGACATCTAGGGCAAATACACCAAAAAAAAAAAACCCAAAACAAAACCCATTTTCTGTTGAGTTGATTCTGACATGGCAACCCCTCAGGTATTAGAGTAGTACTATGCTTGATGTGGTTTTCATTGACTAATTTTTCAGAAGTACATTGCCAGTCCTTTTTTCTGAGGCTCCTCTGGGTTGACTTGAACCTCTAACCTTTAGCAACCAGACACCACCCAGGCACATAGGTTACGTGCTTGACTGCTAAGCAAAAGGTTGGAGTTCGAATTCACCCAGAGGCACCTTGGAAGAAGGACCTGGTGACTTACTTCTCAAAAATCAGCCATTGAAGACCCTGTGGAGCACAGTTCTATTCTGATGTACATGTGTTTGCCATGAGGCAAATACACGGTGACTCCAAAATGGATTCCTTTTGTGGAGTATCTCTAAGTGACAAAATGCCATTGGTGTGTACTTTGACCAACAGTGCTGAGAGTCAGGGCGAGGCATTACTACTGTTCCACTGGTTGTAATGAAAATAGCCGTTCTCACTCCTGGCACCTAGTTATTGTGGAGCTATCGCCACTACTGACTGGTCATGTTCTCACCCGGACCAGTTATCTTTACTTTTGGCATATGTTCTGTGTTTCTGATATTTCTTCCCCTCGAAAGTCGTCTGTCCCTCCTCCATTCCCATTTCCTCAATATGAAATATTTGCCTTATTTGGAAAAAATACATATTTTGGGGATGATAAAACTGATGAGAAAATAAGTTTGATATTTTCCCAAGAGCGTCAGTGTTTGGCATTTGTGCAGCAGCATATTTGCAGAAAATTTATTGAGAGTTTCCATGTATTTTTAAATGGCCGACCTAGGGAGTTGAAAGGGGACTCTTGTACAGGAGTAGTGGAGTTGGGCAGAGTGTGAAAAAAGAACATGTCTGTGCCTATGCCAGATTGTTCTGATTGGGCATTGTTTTTAAGCCTTGGTGTACCGGGTTTGTGGCCACCAAGGTCCCCTGGTCACTTGTCTATATGCCTTTGGTTACCACATGGGTTCACTGTCTCCTGATCCAAGACTGAATTTTTAGATTTGCCCCAGGGCCGGGCAAGTCAGGAGTTTGTCATATGAAGTCATTTGCTGTTTGGGAGAAATTTCCGTCTTCTACTCACACTCCTCTCTCTTAACCTTTCTCCTCAGGTTCATCCTCCCTGCCTGGAACAGTAGGAGTGGGGAGACGGAGGTGGATCTAAGGAGCGCTTTTCTATTGTCAGCTTAACGCAGGCCTGGAGTTGGCCAGCCTGCAGTCTCATGTACTTGAATTTCACAGGGTATTGCCAGAGGGTTGCTAGAATCTGCTAGACACAGCCTGGGAAACAAATTTTCTTAAATAATGCCTTGAAATTATTTTTAACTTTCCAGAAGTTGTTGTAGCAGTTCAGAAATTTAATTGTTTAATGTTTGGTTGGTTATAGTACACCTATAAACTATGTATTTCACGAGATTGTTATAAAAAGGATTCAATTATTAGTACTTCTGGGTAGGATTAGATTTTAAATATTTAGGTAAACATGAAAAATAGCTTAATCTCTAAATTCTGGTTTTTAAATCTCAGGATTAGATTTTGAACTTTATCTTTTTGATGGGGTAATATGCAAATGAACTACTTGTAGCTTTGAGACTTAATGTTTGAGCCAAAACAGTATAATGGGGAAACTCAGCTGCAATAAATGTTTGTTTTATTAGCCCAGTTGTGAAATTTTTCAGTGGGAATGGTAATTCGCTAGGTAGTTAACATATAGTATCTGGGATAGGCATAGAGCTGGGCCTAGAATAAACTTTGAAAGGGAAAAATATAAACAGCAAGGATCAAACGCCATCCGTAAGGATGGCATTTCCTTATCTTCTGAGATAGTAAAATTTTGTAATCACTTCCGTTTGTTGATAAGCAGAAATTAAAGGCAGAATTCTTATCAGGTGGTTTTCAGTGCATACTGCTTAAGATGCAATTCGATACTATTTAACGGTGTAAAAACTTGCAGTGACCCCCTCCACCTCAGAACGTGAAATTAGGCCCTTGAGGCAGGCCTTCCAGCTCTCCTGCTGCCGCTAGCTACTCACTGCAGGCATTCCAAGCTGACTGATGGGCCTGTCTACAGGCTCTTAATGTTTGTGGCATAGAAATAGCCAAAGAATTAGTAATTGTGTGCTCTGGATTTTCTAGGGAAGGTCCAAGGGCAAGATATTCTGCCCTGTAGTCAGACCCTGTGTCTGATTTTTGGTTTGGAAAATAACGTCGCCATACAAGGACAAAACGGTGTGTTAATTATCTAGAAATATTTGCCAGGTTTGTTTTGGGGGCAGAGGAGCAGGCATGGGGTCAGCACCAAGAGGTGTGCCTAAGGGTCTACAGCAGCTAGACGCTCACCAGGTGGACCAGCAGGGGTTGTTTTCAGCGTGATGCTCCGCCAAGCTTGTTCCTCCCAGCTCTTGGCCGCCATTGCTTTTTTCTTCTGTCTTATTAAATGTAACGCATACTCACGAGCACCCTTTACGTGTCGCACATTGCCCTAGGTAGCTAGTTACAGGGGTATAAGGAAGAAGGAGACATATACCCTGCTCTCCAGGAACCTCTTTTATTGGGGAGGAGACACACACTTGAACATAGAATGAGCAGTTAAAAAATGAACAAGGGGGAGGGACTATAGGGATCCTTATCTGTCCCTTACTGATCAGGAATCCAAGGCCCAGAGGGTTAAGTGACTTTGTCCAGGTGTTACATCAAGTTGTACTTTCTGACATACTCCAGTAATAATTGCCCCTCCACACCTCGCTCTAGCAACAGCAACAACAGAAAGCCTGGGGAGGCAGGCTCTTGCTGTAAGTCAGCCTCCCTCCCTTCCTTCCACTAGTATATTATTGAGTGCCTATTATGTACCAGGCACTGTTCTAGGCCCTGTGGGTAGAGCCAAACCAAACCAAACCGGTTGCCATTGAGTTGATTCCGACTCATAGTGACCCTAATAGGACAGAGTAGAACTGACCCATAAGGTTTCCCAGGCTGTAATCTTTACAGAAGCAGACTGTTACATCTTTCTGGAGCAGTTGGTGGGTTCCAACTGCCAACCTTTGGGTTAGCAGCCGAATGCTTTAACCACTGTGCCACCAGAGCTCCCTATGCTCTAAGTAAAACATGTAGTGTGGATAAAGCAGGGATGTGCTGGGGGTAGGGGTGGGATTGCAGTATTAAACATGGTGGTCAGGAGGTCAGGCCTCTCTGAGGAGGTGACGTTTGAGGAAAGACCTGAAAGGATAGGAACAGGATATAGCCCACAAAGCACTCAAGTAAGGGGAGAAGGAGGACAGTCCGTAGCATCACAGAGTAAGGAGCACTGCTCTGGGCTCTAGAAAGCCCTCATCGTCGATGCAGGGTAGTCAGGTTTTTGTACATTTATACCAAAAACCAAACCCATTGCTGCTGAGTAGATTCCAACTCATAGCAACCCTATAGGACAGAGTAGAACAACCCCATAGGATTTCGAAGGCGTAATCTTTACGGAAGCAGGTTGCCACATCTTCCTTTCGTGGAGTGACTGATGAGTTCGAACTGCCTACCTTTTGGTTAGCAGCCTGAGTGCTTAACCACTGTGCCGCCAGGGCTCTTTGTACATTTATAGCACATATTTGCTGAGGCAGAAGGAAGCAGTAAAGGACCTGGACCTGGTGACCACATGCTCGTTGTGATTACGTTGCTAAGATAGGAAGCATCCTGTGTGACCTGAAACTCTAAGGTGTGATTGACCATGACTCACCCCGAGACTCTGGTCCTGTTGTTTGGCTCCCTTATTTAGTCACAGGCAGCACAGAACAAGGCAGACATTCTTCTCTTACCTTGTACTCCCCAGTCACTTTGAGAAAGCTTTAGCAGATTTATCAGTGAAGTATAGAAGTGGACCGGGATGATGACATCTTTCAGTGTGATATACTGTGCACATCTGTACTGGGCCTCAGTATTTGTGAGTGAAGTCTTAGAAAAAAAGACTACAAATGTGTGTTTCTCTTCTTTCTATTTCAGACAGCCCATTTGAGGATACAGACCTTAAGGACTCTTATCTCATTCCAAGAAACATCATGGCTGAGGCAGACTACATAGAAGATGACAATCCTGAACTAATTAGGCCCCAGAAACTAATCAATCCTGTCAAAACGTCCCGGAACCATCAAGATCTTCACCGAGAACTTCTTATGAATCAAAAAAGGTAAGATGTTTTCTTGAGCAAAGTTGAAACTTGAGTGAAGTCCTTAGGAGACTTTTAAGATAATTAGGTTTAATTTTAGTTATGTTTACAAAGGCTTCAAAGATTTTTTTTTTTCTTTCTGGACTGTGTTTAATTGTTGTTGTTAAGTGATGTTGAGTTGGTTTCGACTCAGCAACCCCATGTGACAGAGTAGAACTACCCCATAGGGTTTCCTAGTGTGTAATCTTTACAGGAGGCTTTGGTGGTAACAGTGGTTAAAGCACTAGGTTGCTAATCAAAAGGTTGGCAGTTTGAACCCGCTAGCCGCTCCGCGGAAGAAAGATGTGGCAATCTTCTTCTATAAAGATTTACAGCCTTGAAAACCCTATGGGGCAGTTCTGCGCTGTCCTATAGGGTTGCTTTGAGTCGGAATCGACTTGACGGCAGTGGATTTTGGGTTTAATCTTTATGGGAGCTGATCGCCAGGTCTTTCCCCTGCAGAGCCACTGGGGTGGGTTCTAACTACCAGCCTTTCTGTTAGCAACCGAGTGCTTAACCATTGCACCACCAGGGCTCTTTCCATATTTTATTAAGACTTCTTTATTTCTTCTAGCATCCTTGAGCCTGGTCACTCCTCCATAGAGTAAAGCCCCTGCAGGCGCAGCTGCCACTCACTGTGACATTCCGAGCTCCACAGTCCTGTTTCCCTGTCTGAAATGTGTGCATACTTTAAAATTTGGGTGGAAGGGACTGAATTAAAGGTAGAAGAGAGTCTCCCAAGTAGACGAGAAATATATTCTTAAAATTGTAAAATCTCTGAATATTTCTTTTACATTTGCAAAAGCGTAGGGATCAGATTGAAAATACTGCCTATCTTAGCATTTATGCGTAGCGGAGAGAAGTCTCTAGAGCCACATTAGATTTAGCAATACATAGGAATGTGCTTTTTTGTGGGGGGGGGGTTTGTTTTTAAGTAGCATTTTAAATGACTTTTATCATCATTTCTATTCTTACTAATTTCTTTGGAGAGGAGCAAAACATTTACCTTATATTTGTAAGCAGTTTGTAAGCCCTATCTGTGCCATGAATAATTTCGAATGTTGAGCTGATGTACTCTGCTTTTTAAAGTAATTTTGGGCAAGGCCAGTAGACTGGGATTGCTGAGGATACAAGGTTACTTTATTTATTAGGATATCAGACCCAAAAATATCATTAATATCACACACAAGTAAAATTTTGCTGAAGATCATTCAAAAGTGGCTGCAGCAGTACACTAACAGAGAACTCCCAGAAATTCAAGCTGGATTCAGAAGAGGACATGGAATGAGGGATACCGTTGCTGATACTAGATGGATCCTGGCTGAAAGCAGAGAATACCAGAAAGATGCTTACCAGTGTTCTGTTGACTATGCAAAGGCATTTGACTGTGTGGATCATAACAAATTATGGATAACATTATGAAGAATGGGAATTCCAGAACACTTAATTGTGCTCATGAGGAACATGTACATAGATCAAGAGGCAGTCGTTCTAACAGAACAAGGGGATACTGCGTGGTTTAAAGTCAGGAAAGGTGTGCGTCAGGGTTGTATCCTTTCACCATACCTATCCAAGCAGTACGCTGAGCAAATAATCTGAGAAGCTGGATTATATGAAGAATGGGCATCAGGATTGAAGGAAGACTCATTAACAACCTGTGTTACGCAGATGACACAACCTTGCTTGCTGAAAGTGAAGAGGACTTGAAGCACTTACTG